TAGATTCCCAATCCCTGATGCTCTGTGTCTTGTGGGTCTTGTACCTTTAAATTGAATACAGTCAGTACTGGATCTCAGTTCCCATCTTCCTTTCCTTTGATTAGTCTTACCATGTCCTTGTCAATGGTTGCCCTTTACCATTTGTTAGGACCCTGTTTTTAGCTCGGATGAAACAGAAGTTGCACAGCACAGTTTGTGGGAGAGGGCATTACACATGCTGCAGTCCCTCAATCCTGCTTCAAGTACCTGCATTCCCCATCTCTGTTTAAGGCCTGAGAAAAGACTGTAGAATCCATGGAATCACTGCTGACTGCAGGAAAATGGGGTCAAGCTAAAACTTCCTGAGCTGAACCTTCAAGTATTTAAAGACAGTTTTTGCATCAAAAAGTAGGAATTGTAGCACAATAAGGTCTTGGGAGAGTACATGAAATTGCAATCAGGGACTGGAATAGTGCTCCTACTATGCCTGCTCTGCTGCCAGGGATGCCTGTCAGTAGATTCCTTCCATAGGGATCTTCCAAGAAGTTTGGAGCTTATTTGGGAATCGAGACCTGTGCAACTAGTCTCAACCATCGGATCTTGTTGCTGTTTGAAGGGGGGGGGGGCATAGAGAGGGCTGGGGAGAGGAATGGACATGAAGTACAAAAGGGTGAAGTTCCACGTCCATGGGGAGCAAGAGCTGAAGCCAGTAAGGAGGCAGGGTGTGGACATAACATCCAGAGCTAGTCTGAAACCCCTGGGATGATGTTAATGCCACTCCCTTTGGCGCAGGAGTTCCTGACCCCTGAGCAGCGGCGATTTGCTGTTCGGGGGGTTCCTACCTTGCTGGAGGTCTCAGGATTCTCCTATTTCTATGGTGCCTTCATGGTTGGGCCTCAGTTCTCCATGACAGACTATCAGAAACTGGCAAGGGGTGAGATGACTGACGTTCCAGGCCAGAGACCCAATAGGTAATACAAAGCTGCTTGGCTTCTCCCCTTCCTACGGTCCTAGAATGCTGAATCCTCCATGTTCCCTGCAGCAGACTGCCTTCTTACCTGGACACAGAAGTACTGTGACCAGAAGTGATTTATGAGACAAGGGAGTCTTTCAAAAGTAGCTCGTAACTCTGCTTAATGTCCCAGCATAGTTCCAGGGCATGAACATTAAGAGCCATTGGACATCTCTAGAAAAGACTCAGCTCCAGCCTGGTGATGTTTGCATCCCAGCTTCCAAATGGAGGCAGCTGCTGCAGTGGAATTTTGTGACTCCCTATCGTTGTCTCCCCTACCTCCACCTCTCCATCCATGTTTTTAAAACTATGAATTTGATGGTCTTTTTCCAAGGCATTTCTTTGACTTTCATATTTTTCTTTCTCAGTTTCGTGCCTGCTCTCAAGCGCCTGGGCCTGGGTTTCTTGTTTCTGGTAACCTACACCTTGTCTAGCCTGTACATCTCTGATGAATACCTCACCTCAGATGATTATATGGTATGTATTCACTTGGCCTTGTGGGGTGTGGAAGAATTCCACTTCTCTGGTGGGCACTGCATCTACAAGAGTGGAATTATTTTTTTACTTCTGTCTTTATTTTTGCCTCAATTTAAAAATAAGTCGGCAGCTAGTGAGAAGCTTTTCCACAGCTGATTTGGCCTTGCCACCTGTCCTGTGGATTCCATCTGATGCAGAACAGGCATGTGTTAAGCAGAACTGAAACAAATGAAAACTTTTACAAGTATATGATTGATCTTAAATGCTAGTTGGTTTTGGAGACTTAACATATGAATTTTATGACCTTTTAATGACTTTCCATTTAACCATTATGTGTAAAGAATTTCACTAGAGTAACTTGTAAGGCTTCCATAATCTTTGAGGTTCTTGGAAAACTCCTAACAAATAATTCCTACCAGCAGATTATCAGCAAGCATTTTGATTATGCTAATCCCAGAGTCTTCCCAAACTCTTACCTATTTCAGTACAGCCAAATATTTCCAAAAGAAGAAGAATGATGTATAAGTTTGCATAATCCTGGCAGCCCAGCCCATATGTCGTAACACATTACATCAGATTAAAACAAAAGACAGTGATGAGATCCCATTTACCTTGTGTCATTATGGCTACTCAACTCCAGTTTTTATTTTACTCTGTTTCACTCTTATCTCTGCAGGAGAAGCCTTTCTGGTTCCGTTGTGGTTACATATTGATCTGGGGCAAAATAATACTCTACAAATATGTAACTTGCTGGCTTGTTACGGTGAGTCTAGATGTTTTTCCAGAAGCAAAAAACAAATTAATAAAGGTCCAAGCCTCTTGGACTTAGTACTAAATGGAAGAAATCCAAATATCTGGAGATCAGTGCAGGTCAGTTCAGCTTGCTTTAAGTTAGCAAAGGCTAGCTAACTAAAAGGCACTTTTTAATCCATTTGTTCCATCTCTAGTGATGCTCTCAACACAGTGAGAGTCAGCATTTCCTTAGCTCTGCTTCTCTAGAAAAAAAAAAAAGGGCAGTATTTTCATCTTACCTTTCTTGTGCATTTTTTGATAGGAAGGTGTCTGCATCCTTGTTGGTCTGGGGTACAATGGGAAAGACCAGAATGGAAAGCCTTTGTGGAATGCCTGTGCCAACATGAAGGTCTGGCTGTATGAGACAACACCTTTATTCACAGGGACCATTGCTTCTTTCAACATCAACACCAATGCTTGGGTGGCCCGGTGAGCAGGATGAAATTCTCCTCCTATAATGTGTCAGTTCTGTTCTGTCAGCAGAACCAAGACCTTAGGCTAAGCAGGAGCATTAGAGGAAGAATCTGCCAGTTTTCAGTTTGGGCGCCTTTTCCCATGTTTTGCTGCTATGCCCTTAGAAACAGGTTATTGGGTTACTGGGTTAGAGAGATCTTTTAATTCACCTGGAAGGGCAGTTCATTAATAAAGGCAAGCAGTTGATGGCAGCAGAGACTAGAATGGGACTACAGAGAGCCCTTGGGGCTGCCTGCCTGCTCAGCCAGCCACAGAGCTGACAGCTGCCTCCTGCATCATGGCTCTTGGTGCAGCCCATGCCAAACTCGGATGGGTTTTGGTTCAGCACTTGCTGGGACACATAGCTAAATTGTATGTAATGACCCCCTTCTCCCCCTTAGAGCTGGGATTTCTTGAAGACTCTTTTCATGTAGGTTTTGCCCTTGTCATGCTGTTCCTGCTACCACAGGTCATGCAAAGGCATCAGGTCCCCTGGGCCCTTCATCCCTAACACAGCCGGGGAGGGCAGATAATAACCTGGAAGCACTTTGTTTCTTTTCTGCTCTAGCTACATTTTCAAGCGCTTGAAGTTCCTGGGCAACAAACTGCTGTCACAGGCACTGGCCCTGTTCTTCCTGGCCATTTGGCACGGGCTGCACTCTGGCTACCTGGTGTGCTTTCAGATGGAGCTGCTTATAGTCATCGTGGAAAGACAGGTGCGCTTTGTCTGACTTACCAGAATGGGGGGACCTGTGTTAGCCTCTCCCCCTGAGCCTGGAAAGTGCCACGCTGAAGGCTTTACTTGCATTAAATACGAGAAACAGCTGCTCACTTTGGAATTGGTTTTCAAGCATGGCAGGGTTTTGTTCTCAAGAGTTCAGTAGGTTGCTGCCTTCTCCGTGGGCAAACCATAAATACATTGCAGAAGCTGACAGGGAAAACGTGGAAAACTTGGCATATGAGCAGAGGGCAGCTGAAGTGCTTGGCAGCTGGAAAGACTGGAGGACAAACACATGAGCTGAATGCCTGTTAATCTCCTAGTACTGAGAGAACAATATTCCTTTTTAAAATGTGTTTTCTTAATTAAAACTTGGGGCAGGACAGGATATTTAGCTACTTTTTTTGGACTAGCTGCTTAGTAATACACATTTTACACAGCTGGATACAGAACTTTGGCCCCAGGACGTCCAACTGTTGAGAAGTCTGTTTTTTTTCTTTAAATTAGGTCATGAACCTTGTTCGGGACAGTCCTGCCCTAAGCACTTTGGCCTCCATCACGGTCTTGCGGCCCATCTTCTATGTGCTGCAGCAGACTAACCACTGGATGTTTATGGGTTACTCCCTTGTGCCATTTTGCCTTTTCACCTGGGACAAATGGATGAAGGTATTTAGTAGCCACAGACAACCCCACATGGTCAACCCTGTTCCCTCCATCCCCTCCCCTGTGTTCTCGGCTTAAAGCTGGTTGCTGATCCTCAACCCTGCCTTTCTCTTTACAGGTGTACAGGTCTATTTATTTCTTCGGCCACGTGTTGTTCTTCACCTTACTGCTGGTGTTGCCTTACATTCGCAGATTAATTGTGCCACGAAAAGAAAAGCTAAAAAGAGCAGAATAACGGCCAAAAGGTAAGGCTGCATGAGGTAGAGACCACGAGGTAAAGTGGGGCAGCAATGCTGCAGCCCAAGGCGAAAGGCAAACATCAAATCAACCGAAGCAAATCCAGGGCTCCTCTGTTTTCCAGATTATACCACCTGTGCATTCGTAGGAGTTGATTTAACACTCCGGAAGCAAAGCATCACCTGCCAAGTTTGCTGTGTTGAAGTATGACTATTTTTCAACGCAAGGAGGGGGAAGGAGAAAGCACAGGGTCAGAGACCTGAAAGGAGGAGATCCAAGCGAGCCTCCTTGAGACCCTCCACCTTCTGTCTGTTGCCTTATCTCTGCCGCCCCGCGGCCGGCACTCGTCTCTCTGCTGATACCAGATGATTGTACCACACTCACGGCAGGTGCTGCGTTGGATTGGAGCCACCTTCTGACTTTTCTACGTTTGTCATCTAAGATAAAAATTGCTCCTGATCTTTTTAACATCAGCTTCAGCTCCTTTCCTCTTGGGTGCCTCCGTGTGGGAGTGTGAACTGTCACATGCCACCAAGCAAGGCAATTCTACAGGACAGAATGACACCAGGGCGAGCAGGGCACAGCTAAGAATTCCAGTTCTGGGACAAATTTGGGCCAAGTCCCTGCTATAAGGGGATCCAGCCAGCCCACATATGAAAAATGAGAAAGTTAAATTCACAAGCACTTTTTAATCAAAAAAGGTACCTTTAATAGGAAAAAGGGTCAGTGGGGCAGTCCATTTAAAGTCGCATTGCTTCAGAAGCTACAAGGACGATGTTGAAGTGTTTTCCAGGAGCCCAAAAGCTGCACCAGGTCCATATCCAAGTTAAAGAGCCTTTTCAGAATGTGAAGTCACTGTATACAAGTCCATCATGACAGCAGTAGCTCATACTATTCCCCACACTTCCTCAAAGGCAGTAGTAATTTTAGCACACGTTAGGGCAGCAGAAAGGGGATAGTTGCTGATGGAGACCATCTTTTCTGTGTAGTCAACATTGACCTGGGAGAAGAGGGGGAGAAAAATAGGAAAAAAAAAAACCAAAGTTGCAAAAAGTTTTTATTAAGCCTCACCTCCATTAGTACAAGACAGGCAAGGAGCCACTGGAGAGAGTCCAGCAGAGGCTAGAAAGATTATTAGGACACAGAACCATCTCTTATGAGGAGAGACTGCAGGGCCTGTTTTGTCTAGGGAAGAGAAGACTGAGGGGATCTCATTAATGCACGTAAATATCTCAAGGGTGGGTGCCAAGAGGAAGGTGCCAGACTCTTTCTTCTGGTGGCCGGTGACAGAGGAGGAGCAGTGGCCATGAACTAAAGCACAAGAAGTTTCACCTCAACATGAGGAAGAACTTCTTTACACTGAGGGTGGCAGAGCACTGGAACAGGCTGTCCAGGGAGATTGTGGAGTCTCCATCTCTGGAGACATTCAAAGTCCACCTGGACATATTCCTGTGTCACCTGCTCCAGGCGACCCTGCCTTGGCAGGGGGCTGGACTGGATATCTCCAGAGATCCCTTCCAACCCTAACAACTGCAGAGGTGCAGTATTTCCTCAGCAGGGAAACTGCTAGCTTTCACTAATGCCCCCGCCCCTTGGGAGGGAGAACAGTCCCAAGTGTTGCAGTTTTGGGCCTTTTTTTGACAAGCATAAGGGGAAAAATGGGGGGCTGGATGGAGGGGAAACCAACCAAAAAAAGGGCAGATAAAACCTCCATACTCAGACTGAAACCTTTTTACAACCTCAGGTAAGAGATACACACACTTACCGACCCGTGGGCAAAAGCTCCCACCACAATGACAACTGGCTCTGCTGCAGGAACCAGCTCACGCAGATCTGACACCTGTGACACTGCAAAAGAGGTACCAATCTTCATGCAGCCCACGGGAAGATGGTCGCTGACTGGATTTTTAATCACCTACAGAAAGCAGAAAGTTAATAGGGGTGTAAAGGTAACAGACTCTGACACATAGCTAGATCCATTGTTTGCTAAAAGCAACAGACAAACAAAAAATTCATCAGCTGGTTGCAGGCTGTGTCAGGAGCTCATGACTGATGCATCTGGAGTAATCCATCCTCATTGTCCATGGTATTTACAAAATACAGTGGTGGTGTTATTCCACAACCAACATTACATACAAAATTCTATATCACAGACTGTCCTTGTCCAAAAATCAAATCTTTTTAAGGTTTCCCTGTCCCCCTGATTACCCACCAAATACACCCAGGTCCTTGAGCAAAAGCAACCCCAGATGGGTTGAGGCTCAGTGATCATAGATATGCCCAGGATACAGATGACGTATAGGTAGAAGTCTTGGCTATGGGGAGCAGTAGAATACGTAGCAGAGCTCCCCGTGACCAGCAGTGTAATTCCTGCATAATCCAAAATCAGAGAAGTCCACAAGATCTTCTCCAAGTGACAACAGGCAATATGGAATAGCCAGGAGAAGCTGAGGCACAGCACTGCTCCCAGGAAGAGCATCTCAAACAACACCTTCTCCTGTAAAGAAGCCATGAAGTACACCATGGTCAGGATCCCCAGGCAGAGGGACAGAACAAACCCCAGCAGGTGTGTCCAGATGTTGCCAGTCTCAGTGTGTATCTGGAAGATGCTCTTGAAACAGGCACACAAGGAAGGCATGGAGGACCTATAGTCCCCTTTAGCAACTGTCTTGTCTTGGCTGGCAAGCAGGCTGCTGTTGGGATTTAAAACCACTCTCCTTCTTTGAGGAATCTGGATTTTCCAGAAGAAAGTTACAAAACACATTTAAGTCATGATTAATTCTTCAGCTCTGGGAGTCTTGCTGCTCTCTGAGGAACAGCACAGTGAGGTCCTGCTCAGCCAGCAGCTCCTTGTTCTGGTACGTTCCTCAAGCCAGGTTTATGAGAGCCCTGCGTGGGAAAGGCTGGAAAGGCTGCTCCTTGTCCCTGCCTGCTGATCTGTGTCCTCAGGCAGATATACTGGCTAGGGCCAAGTCTTCTCTGCCAAGATGACATCACCATCACCTTCCTCAGGCTGCTGCTTTCCTGGCATTTCCAGCAACAAGGGTAGTTCTTCATCCGAGGAATCCAGTATCATGATAAATCCTTTGTCCCTATGGTTTATCCAGTCTTCCCCTCTGTGACTACAGAAGCCATTCAAGTTAATTATATCTTCATTTCCACCTCTCTCTGCCATTTTAAAAGCTGTACCTGAAAAGTGTCAATACCCAGGCATGGCAGTCAGGCTCAAGTGAGGAAACAGATCCCTCATCTCCAAAGACAGGTGTGTTTGGGGTTTCCTTCCTGCAGCAGCAGCTCCTATCCAGGTAGCATGTGGGAGAGCCCCCCTGAAACCAGGACTCCCAGCAATGATGTGAGGGAATAGCATAGCAGCCACACCCACAACCAGGACCCCCGCTCAAAAAAAATCCCTCCTACATTGCGGTTACAATGTTCCAACATTAGCTGTGAACAGTTACAGAATATTTACCTTCAGCAGTTTCTGAGGCCCATCAGCTGCTCTAACACTGAGCTTATGCAGCAGCTGAACTGGCAAAGAGAAAAGAAGAAAAAAATCACTTAATCTGTGCGGTAATCTGCTGGAGGAATCCCATGCTTTGCCTGAGCTGAAGTACACAAAAAGCCCACCTTTAGAGTTCCCATCACAGCCTGAAAAAAGTTATTTTGCTGACAGCACAACCTCCTGCGGGCACTCCCCATTGTGCTAAGGAGCACACAGCTGGGGTATGAACCCTGGAACAGCCCAGGAAAAGGCTTTCACTTCTTCGCTCTTTTCTCATTTTCACATTTTATGGTCAGTGCCAGTTTTTGACTTTTCCCAAAAGGTCCTCCAATCCTGACCACCTTCCTGCATTATTCTATAGCTGGTGCAGAGTTTGAATCACTTACCCATAAGACCACAGAATCGATCGAAAGTTCTTGGGATTCTGGTCTGGGGATTTACTTCAATGAGAACATTCTTCTTGGTATGGATATAAACCTGCAGGAGCCCAGCCCGATTCAGGGGACTGTCCATGAGCATCAGGAGACTCTGAAAGTGAAAAGCACACGGTACTGGAAATAGAAAGGCACGCGAGAGAGAATTCTAGGGAAAATTGAGAGTTAGCCCCCACAAATGTAGAAGGGACCGATATTGAGGCTGAAAGCTCATCCAACTACGGAACGTAATGCTGTAGTGCTAAGAAATCAAGTCCAGACCCAAAAATCAACTCAATTTAAAACCCACCAACATAACGGGGGAGGCCAAACTCACCCCCGGGCTCCAGGGGCACAAGCGGACCCCTGGAGCCGAGGGACGATCGCCCCGAGCCGCCTTGCCGGGCTACCCCGAGCAGCCCAGGCCGCCACAGGCGCCGCCGGACCCAGCGGGTACCTGGTGGGTGATGTCAGGCCGCACCTCCCCGGGGTCCCGGCCGTTCCGTAGCAGCAGCGCCTTATGCTTGTCGCAGTTGAGCAGCTCGAACGTCTTCCCCACCTACGGCCAAATTACGGACAGGTAGCAGGGAACGAGAGGATCCGCGGTGCGGTGCGGCGCGGCGCGGCACGGCCTGACCTGCCCCGACCTCGCCCCGCCCTTACCTTCACGGTCTCCAGACTCGCTCCCTCCAGCACAACCAGGAGCCGCCGCTGCCCGCGGGGCCGCTTGCCCGCCACTGAGCGCCCTTCATCATCCTCCTCATCCTGCACATCCCCACGTGGCCGCCTGGGCGCCGCCATTTTGTCACGAGGCCCCGCCAGCCCCTCCCTGGCCCCGCCCTTCCCGCCGCGGCCACCCAAGATGGCGCCGGGGCGCGCCCTCTATCTGGTTCCGGCCGGACCCGCTTCCTGAGCGCCGCGGCCGCCGCGCCGGAAGGCGAGTGCTAGGGGCGGGAAGGGGCAGAGGTGCACTCCTATCTCCGCGGTTTCCCGCCGGAGCGCCACAGCGGTCGCTCCTTCCGGTGTCCTTCCCGGCGGGGGCGGCGGCGGGGCGATCATGGCGCAGAACCTGAAGGACCTGGCGGGACGGCTGCCGACCGGGCCCCGCGGCGTCGGCACCGCGCTTAAGCTGCTCCTGGGCGCCGGTGCCCTGGCCTACGGCGTGCGAGAGTCCGTCTTCATTGGTGAGTGGAGTCACCCCCAGCCCCTGGGAGCCTTCGTGCCCGCCGCTCGCGCTGACCAAGCCCCCGCTCTCTCCCCGCAGTGGAGGGCGGCCAGCGCGCCATCTTCTTCAACCGGATCGGCGGCGTGCAGCAGGACACCATCCTGGCCGAGGGGCTGCACTTCAGGTAGGGCCCGGCCCCCACCCGGCCTCCCCTGACCTGGCGGGGCCCTCGCCCCTAACGCGCCTCCACCTCCCGCAGGATCCCCTGGTTCCAGTATCCTATCATCTATGACATCCGAGCGCGGCCGCGGAAAATCTCCTCCCCCACTGGTTCCAAAGGTGAGCGAGAGGGGCCACGAGGTGGGAGGCGTGGGGCAGGAATTCGGCCGTAGTTCTGCGCTCCTCAGATAATTATGGAATGTTAAGGGGTTGGAATAGGCCCTAAAGATTATTCACAATTTTTTGCCGCGAGTAGTGACACCTTTCACCATACCAGGTTGCTTAAATCCCTATCTGACCTGTTCTTGAACACCTCCAGGGCTGGGGCATCCACAGTTTCCCTCGGCAACTTATGCCAGTGCCTCACCACCCTCTCCGCATTGGATGTCTTCATAATTCCCAGCCAAAACATCCTTCTCCCAGTTGGTGCCGATTGTTCCTTGTCCCATCACAGCAGTCCCTGATGGAGAGGGGCTCTCCAGCTCCCCGCAGGCCCCTGACCCCCTTGCTGTCCCCACAGACCTGCAGATGGTGAACATCTCCCTGCGTGTGCTGACGCGGCCCAACGCGGCCGAGCTTCCCAGCATGTACCAGCGCCTGGGGCTGGACTATGAGGAGCGCGTCCTGCCTTCCATTGTCAACGAGGTGCTCAAGAGCGTTGTGGCCAAGTTTAATGCCTCGCAGCTCATCACACAGAGAGCCCAGGTGAGCCCTGCCACGGCAGGCTTGGGTCAGCTCACAGGGGAACTGCAGAGCGATGAGTGGGGGGAGTGTTGTGGCAGGTGAAGGAAGGATGACTGTGTTCAGCTGGTGGATGCGGCATCCACATGGCAGGTGTGTCCCATGTACAGTTTGATTTCAATACGTGTACACGTACTGTACTGGCAGTATCTGAGGAGGAAACTGGCTTCGTTGGTACACTGAGTGCGAAACTGCACCAAAATGTAACACTGCGAGAGGGAGAGCTGGTTTGCTTCATGATCCACAGGTGTCAGTGGAACAGGATTTAAAAATACAGGTCTCCGAATGACTGTTGGAGCAAATTCAACCATTTTGAAAAATCTGAAAAATAGTGGGAATGAGTAGTTAACAAAGCACTAACCTGTCAGTGATGGATGCTGCAGAAGGGTAGCAAATCACTTCCATTTACAATCACAGAATGGGTCAGATAGGAAGGGACCACCGTGGGCCATCTGGTCCAGCCTCCCTGCTCAAGCAAAGTCATCCCAGAGCACATGGCACATGTGGAAGATTGCATCCAGATGGTTCTTGAATGTCTCCAGTGAGGGAAACTCCACAACTTCCCTGAGCAGCCTGTTACAGTGCTCTGTCACCTGCACAGTAAAGAAGTTATTCCTCATACTTAGGTGGAACTTCCTATGTTCCACTTTCTGCCCATGTCCTATTGTTGGACATCACTGAGAAGAGCCTGGCTCAGTTGTCTTGGCACTCTCCCTGCAGGCACTGATTAGAAAAAGCTTAGATTGTCCTCTGGGGAGGATGCTCTGGAGGAGTGTTCTAAAATATTAGAAATACCTAGCTTAAAAAATGCCTGTTTGTGAAAGTTTGTATTGTAATAGTGTGCTTGCCAGGGATTTTGAGAGTTATCATCACTTGTAGCAGCTGGTGCAGAGGGGAGGTGCTGGTCTTGTTTTGAAAGGTTTTAGAGGAGGTCCTGCAGGACCAGGAGGGTGCTGAAGAGGAAGAGTTGTTAGATAAAATACATCTCTCAACTCTCAGAGATCACATCTCTGATCCATGTCAAAAGAACCAAAGAGTAGAACTGAGTGTCCAGGTTTTGTGATGAGAAATGATCTGTATCCCCCGGTCAGGGGCTTCAAGGTTTTGTGCTCATCCACATGGAGTGAAGTGGAAGGTTTTGTTAGTCTTCATGTAGAAAGAAAATGCGGGGAGAGGATGGGACTGCAAAGAATATCTCTGGGGGTTTTGGCTGTATTGGAAGCAAAGGCTCTTAAGCATCTGTGATTTCAGATAAGAATCATTCTTTGATCTCTGAAATTTTTGAACAAACTGAACTGCATTTGTCTTCTTGTCATGTATCCATCCAGTTCTTGTTATTTTAAAGTGATGTGGGATTGAAGGGATTGGTAGCCAGAAAAAAATCAAGTGATTTTGTGTAGTTGTGCACTCGCAGTTCACACAGGAAAGGTTTGTGTCGCTATTTAGCGTTCTGCTCAGAAACAGCTGCAGTTAAAGTAAAAGCAAATGCTTGACTGGCCAAGCATGTGATACTGTAGCAATACTTTTTGTTTAAGTCAATATTTAGTGCAGGACTTGTCAGGCTGCCTGAAAAAAGTGCTGGCAAGTAAATGGAGAATAAATCAAAGTATCTAGCAGCAACACTCACCCAAAAGCAGCCAAAAAAAGTGCAATAGCTACACTAGACAAGTAGCTACTGTAATTAAGATATATGATACAGGTTAAAAAAATTATATGGTCAATTCTTTTTCTGTGTTGGAGTACAGTTATGAAAGCACAGGCTGCAAACAGTGGCAAATCCAAGGTGGAGAAGGACATGCTTATTGCCAAAACTGGGAACTTTGGAACTGGATGTGGCAGGATGTGAAAGCAAAAGCCACTTTTCAAGTTTTTTTTACTTTCGCAGTGCTACTTGCATAGAACAGTTAAGTAGTAACTACAAATGAGCTGTAGTAGAGTTACAGAAACGCTTTTTGTGGCTGTGGATATGTTATTCAGAGATGTTGTTGATGTCCATGTGTCCTGGTTTAGGGCAAATTAGGGAGAAAACCTCCGGAAGGAGCCCCCAGACAGCAAACCCCCACCACGACTCCCCCCACCACCGGGTTCAGGAAGAATTTCCTCAGAGAGGAGTGGAAAAAAACCTGTTTATTTAACAAACGAAACACTCCCCAGCACAAAAAAACAACACCAGCTGACAAAAAAACTCTTTCACTGTTCTGAAGGGATGACAAACTCAGAAAGTCACTCTGGCGAGTGGTTGCCCAGTTGTCAGTCTCCGATGCTGGGGAATGACTGCTGCAGGTGACAGAATGCAGGCTCCCGGTGTTTCTTGGTGTTTCCCAGGTCCCCGTCTGGAACAGGTTCAGATGGTATTCAGGAAAGGGAGAGGGGGAAAAAAAACAGTCCAGGGAAAAATATTGGACTGCCTAGCTGAACTAACTAATAAGCAAAAGCAAGGGCAAAGCAAAGAAAAACAGGCAGAAGCGAGCAAAGCTAAGCTAAGCAGCAAGCAGAGCTAAGCTAAGCAGCAAGCAGAGCTAAGCCTCTCCTAAACACAGACCATGGGGGAGGTGAGCCGGCTGATAACAAGACAAAACAAAGCTTCACTTTCAGAGTCAGTCCTGAAAGCACAGGACATAATACCACACATAATCAGAACACACGATTGGAGATACAAACACCATAACATCACCCTAGAACACCATGGTTTGAAGCTTGGGTTGGGAATGTCTCTCCTGACACTGAAGAGCAGTTGTGCTTCACTTTTGGAGTGTGCAGGAAGTGCAAAATGCCCTGTGCTTGGTACTACTCTTGTTGCTGGGCTTGTGTTTCAGGTGTCTCTGCTCATTAGGCGAGAACTGACAGAGAGAGCCAAGGATTTCAGCCTCATCCTGGATGATGTAGCCATCACAGAGCTCAGTTTCAGTCGTGAATACACAGCTGCTGTGGAGGCTAAGCAAGTGGGTGAGTTCCATTGGTGCCTTTTCACTGAATTATTAAACAAGGAGGTGGAATTTGGGCTAGTGTGTCACTGCTGTGTCGCTGTATGAGTACAAGTACAGGGTTACAAATCTCTTAGTAACAGAGCTAAACAGGTTTATTTTGCAAGTGTTACCAGAAGGCCGTAGCTAATGGGATAGACCATTAGAGGGACTGAATTCCCAAAACTGAGGATCTTCTTCAGACTGGGACTCTGTCACTCGCTGTGCAAGTTATATGTGGAGGGTCTGGGTACTGTGGGTTTTACTCAAGAAAAGGTAAAGTGCTCTCAGGATATGTTCTGTACTTGGATGTGGTCCCAGAATGTTACCGGTGCTTTGGGAAACAGAGCTCCTGGGCCTCAGCTCTCAGGTTCTGATGGAAGACACAATGTGGTTCCAATGCCTGTGTCCCTTCTCCCTGCAGCCCAGCAGGAGGCACAGCGCGCCCAATTCCTGGTGGAGAAGGCCAAGCAGGAGCAGAAGCAGAAGATAGTTCAGGCCGAGGGGGAAGCGACAGCTGCCAAGATGATATCCTGCTTCGGGAGATTTTGTGGGATGTGGCTTGTGAGCTGGACAGGCCTGAGAATCTCTCACATTGGGCTCATGCTTAGGAGACTGTGATCGGATGATAGCTTCAAGTAGGTCACTGTTCTTTTCCCCCCCCCCTTCTCCAGTCGGCTGGAGTGAGGTTCATCTGAGGTGACAGGCCAGAGCAGAGAAGGC